AAAAAAAAAAAAACAGATTTAAGCCTCTAATTTAATGATTTATTTCTGTATGTCATAAAGTTGTTGAAAGAGACTATTTTCTAGAACCTGCGCACCACCGCTCGGTTGATGTAACATTATCCTAGAATTTGGTAAAGAATAACGCATCCCTTTTTCGCCAGCACACAGTAGCAAACTTCCCATGCTAGACGCCTGAAAGATAGAATTTAAAACGCATAACAAATTTTTGCTTTAATAAAAAACAATCAAAATCTCAATGTATTATCCATATAAGCGATTACTACAGAATTTCAGTAAAAGCTTGAAATTTAAAAAAAAAAAAGAGGGAATGGAAAACCTGTCCTATACACCAAGTTGCTACTGGAGCACTAATATATTGCATCGTATCATAGATACCCAACCCAGCTGTTACGCTTCCACCTAAAAATAATATGGATTTGAAAGTAAACTTTTCAGATTCGATGTTTGTTAACTTCAAACATGGTAAGCCTAAACTAAAGCAATTGAACTGACTGTAACCTTTTTTATTCATTTCAGCCGTTAATTAATTAAAATAAGTCAAAAAACATAAGGAGAATGAAAAGAATTTTCAGCAAACGAAAAACCTGGACTGTTTATGTACATGTTGATGGGACTTTTCGAACTTTCCCCTTGTAAAAATAGAAGTTGAGCGATGACGGACGACGCAATACGATCATCTATCTAAAATTGTACAAAAAACCCAATTCACACCCAACAGACAATCAACAGCTTAGGAGGCTTAGGAGGATGACACCACTGGAGTTCACGGGTATCATTGAAGCTTCAAGCTTAAAAAAAAGAAACTTTAATACCATAAAAAAGGCGGTTTTATTACGAAGTTTTAGGGGAATGTAAAAAATGCTTACCTCAGACATTACGCATACAATCCTGTCCTTCAAAAGTCTTGAATAGATATCATACACTCTTTCTATTTTGCCATCACTATCAATAACCATCGGGATGGTCATACGCATCTGAGAAGAAATGTGAAAATTTCTACAAGCTCGTCCAAACCCCAATAAGGAGAGCAACTTCATCCTTTATTATAAGATCGGTTCAAAAGCTAGGACTGTCCACTGCCTATAATTGAAGAAAGAAGTGTACTTTTGACACCAATGATAAACTTAAAGGTGGAATTAAATTAGAAACCATGTACCACTGTATACTGAGGAAACCCTGAAGGCGGTAGAAGCATGAAATCTGTCTTTTAGACACCAATATGGTTTGGGACATTCAAATAAACCATTTTACACTAACGAAGAGCAAAAAAAAAAATTACGGTCAGGTTTAATGTCAATAAAAATAAGAAAAATAATAAACTTGTCAAATGTTGTTACCAAACGTGGTTTGAAAGACGCGGTATTCATAAAGTCTCCGTCCAAAAGAATTATGAAACTAAGACTTTACAGTTATTAATAAATTTACGTGTTCATGCTTCAAGATTCCCTACTAGCTAAAACTAATTTCTAGAAGAAAATAAATCGAACAACAAATTCAAAATAAACGGTGTACAATCTTCAAAGAACCAATCACTGCTTTGAGCAGTATCTGATCACGAATCGGCACATGAAGATAATGAAAAAAACTGAGATATGAACGCTGAACGAAGATATCAAAAAATTATAGACAGAAATGGCTCAACTCTTGTATACTAACTCCTCAAAAATCTTTTTTCATTTAATAATTGGTCTTTTAGTTCAGCTAGTGTCTTAACAATCTGATGAGTACCAACTAAGTGTAAATTCTAAAAAAGTGGACAGTCTTCTTGCCGTGTGTAAATTGAGCAGAAGCTAAAATACCGTCCCACAGACACAGCACCTCATTACAATTGCTTCTTTCGCTTGATGACACCGGACAAATGGCTCAAATTTGAAAACTTCCGTCATCTCATCATAATTCCCAACCCGCTGACATTGAAAATAAATCCATATCTGACAGCAGAAGCCACTTCCAAAGCTTTGTATGACTTCATATTCACTAAACTCTCACTCCTTCTATAAAGTGGATCCGGCACAAATCACCCACCAGCTACGCAAATTGGTACCATAAATACCGTCCACACACCAGACGACTAAAGGACACATTAGGACCAAGATTCCAACTTGACTTCATGTTCATTGCTTCAGAAGCTACGCTCCTCCAACTCGCTACACCACTCCAATCATTTCCCATCCGCAACAAACGGACCTCTAATATAAAAGTCACAAATGAATCCAAATACTATAACCCTGGTACTAAAATTCAGCAGCAAGTATTCGCCCCACAACCCTTAACAGCACAAGTACTAATGCCAATTTCCAGCACCCATACCAAACCTGAGCAACTCCACTACTATTGCGACTGTTCAAAAAAATTACACCTTTCTGCGTGAGCATACTATAACAGCTCTTTCAGCTATGTCAAACAAAAACTGTAACCATTAAGAGATATCAATAACAATCCAAGCTGCTTAAGATTATAACTCGCAGGTGAAACTTCTGCGTTGGTAACCTGAGTGAACGTCGGCAGTCGATATTACCAAAATCAGCGGCTGCGATTTTAACAAAAATACATCTTTACTAATACAACTTTGTTGCTCTTCAAATTAAACTCTATACAGGATAAAGAATATTAAAATTTAATGAAACGTAGACAAGGTTCATTCACAGAATGCAATAAATGATAAAATTAGTGGAGTACGCCAAATATAATCACCGGAAATCGTCTGGATTAAATAATCCTTTTGCTCGGCTCATTATACTATCCTGAAACAAACTACCATTAGTTAACCGTAATGACATACAGGTTAATCGGAACAACGTCGCAAATGTTAGACTAAATGTAAGGAACAGCGACGACTGCCACAGTATTCGAGGTGAACTCGGATCTCAATATTTAAATTCAGTGGGTTTATTTTGAAATCCTCATGCAATCTTTACAGTATGTAAAAGAGTAAGTTCGGTTACCTTGGACGGATCATAAGGAGCTTCCTTTGAAGGAATCTCAAGCACAGCAGGTATACTTGCTGTGTGCTGGTCTACTGTATAACGAATAAGTTCAGCAATATGTTGATTAATGAGAATAATAGCAATATCATCACGAGCACAAAAACCTCTGAAAGCCTCCTCGATTTCTGACGCAGACGTGTTTTTGTCAACAATCATATAATTCGGCTTCCTCGCCTATAATCCAAAACTCCAATAAAAGCTTTTAATTAAGAATAAAGAAGTTAGAGTAACCAAGTAACGAACTACAAAATTTTTGGTTTTTTCCGAACAGTTGTGCAAAAAATCATAAACGAAATGCTACAGGTCACGCAGTCTAGTAAGACAATAATAAATAATAAGACCACAACGTCTTTAAAAAAAAAACACACACTTTATTTAATTCGCCCACGCCACCAAGCAAGAATCCAACAACAGTATCTTCATCGCCAATTACTGCTAAAATCTTCCCTTTCTGTGCCGAATGAGCCATCTGTCTAAAAAACAATTATATTTTTTATTACATATTAAGAAAAACGAAATAGTTGACGGTGAGTACAATAAGAATACAAAAAATTTTCGATGTACAAACTAGAAGAGTCTACCAACTATAAAAGCAAATCCTTAAGTAAGAATGATAAGCAATCAGTCAGCTTATGACTGATACTAATTTTTGGAATTCTTTTTCTTCTACTATTGGACAGATGTACTACAGTCGCCGCAAAACTGACAACTTCTTGGGCCTCAAGAAAATTATGCCTAGTTGGCTGGCAAATAAGCGATACATATGTATACTAATTTATTCTGCTTTCAGAAATGTAAAACACTGGTGGCGAATTTCGTCCATCAACTAAAGATTTTATATGGAAACAGTATTTAACGATCAGTTAAAAAAATTTTAGGAAAAAACAGGGAATAAAATAAACCTTTCCAGCAAGAGAAAAGAATGTGAAAAATTCATTTTTTTTTTTTTGGCAGAGAAAGTAGTAACATATTTAATATTAAAATAAAGATTTATTTAAAGACTTATTTAAAATGAGACTACAAAGATTTCTAATCCAAATACTTCCCACCAGAACCACAATAAAGTGAATTATCAAATCAAAAAGAACTATTTGCAAACTAAAAGGAGCATTTGTAATCATGAAATGCCGCTCTAGAGTACTTAAAATACAACGTCAACTCCTACAGATGCCTTTTGAAACTGGAAAGAACAGAGACAAAAAAAATCCAAGTAAATGCCGCATTTAAAATCATCTTTAAAATAACAATCAAAATTGATAGTATTTAGAAGTTTAGTTGTAAAAAAATTATAGATTGATCATTTACAACAAGAATTGCATCAGACATTCAAACTTAATGGTTCAGGAAACATGCTGAACTGCAGATGTTTGCTTTCATTTGTTTAAATTTTTTCTGCTGTGCCAGTTACAGCCAACGACAAAGAATCAGAAATTGAACTAAGATTTCTTTTCAAAAGCTCAAGTTTAAAAATATTTCAAACGATGCAGCTAAATAAATTTTTATTCCCAATGTACAAAAATCGGCGCCTATCAAAATTTTCTTGTCCCTTAAATTATAATTTCGGCGTTTGAATGTATTTATAGTGCTAGCCTTAACTGGTAGCATAGTTGTATAAATTTATTTGGTTGTTTTGACCATTGCGAGTTATCTCAGACGATGCTACTGCTTGTTGCTAAATCTACGTACATTTGAAGTATTGCTGACGGACGGTCAACTGTGACGAAAAGGTTGGCGGTTCTGTTATAATATATACGTTTTTGCATGTCGCTTTAATCTTTTTTTTCCCCTATATTTTGTAAAGGTAGATAATTGGTTGTAATGAATTATAAGGGTTCTTCAAATTGCTGTTTGTTGGAACTATACATCTTTTACAGTGAACAGGAACAAAGATCCGGGAGTAGAATTCAAAAAAGTTTATTTCCGGAACAGTCGGACAACTAAGGGTAGTTTTTTGACGGAGATGAGGTCTATGGTAGAAGCAGATTGCGGTCGACCGAATGATCTGGTGAAATTTTCAAAGACGGTTATTCGAGAGGCTCCCAATAATTTGTCGCCGTTGAAATCTTTACCGCTTCCCATTCATCTTAATCTTGGTGATCAAGTAATTCTCTTTTCTTGAGCTTTACATACTTAGACTTTTAAAGGAGTAGATTATTATTTTTATCTGTATTCGTTATCAAGCGGTATTTTATTTAAAACTTTAAATCGTTGTTTAAAAAATATTTTCTATTTGAGCTTGCGGAAGAGTATCTTCGTGGTTTGTCCAACAAAGATGAAACTCCAGCAACCTTTGACTTGTTCGAACTTAAAAAGCAGTTGATGAAAATATCCAACGGAGAAAGCTTTGACCGTCAGTTATTAGATCCTGGCTCTGAATTTCGAAATTTCTCCTTGAAATCATCTTCATTAACTCCTTCTGTCGTTGCCCACCGGTGGATTGACGAAATGGCTGCTGCATCAACTAGCAGACTGGCTTCAGAATGGTCAGAAGAATATTCCAGATTATCGGGCCGTGAAAGTTTGGAAACAATTTGGGAAAATGATGATTCGGAAAAAGTTCTACAGTAAATGCTTCTACTTCTAGTGTTTCACTCAATTTTTTTGCTTTGCAGTTTTTAAGGCTTTTCATAATCCTAATTTCTTGTTTAACGGTTTTCTTGAGCGAGCATTGGGTAAAATGGGGTTTAATCAATACTTGTTAAGAGCATCTTCTGACGTATGGGCATCGGAATTCCTATCTCAATTCGATAACTCTCTTAAACACTCTAAAATTACGGAGAGTTCCTGGGTCGCAGAATTTCTTGAAAAGGTGGTTTGCAAGAGTAGTTATTTGAAATGGATTTCTTACTTCACTCCGATCACTCATCAAATTGAAAAAAATTTAGTTTCGAAGATGTTATGATATCTTCAAATGTTTTCAAGTTTAGGGATTACTTGGCACGTCAAATAATTTTTTGGATTCCCTTGACCATGGTGCTGGTGAAGATTTAAGGTTTACTTTTAATTAGCACTTATTTTGTTGCTATCGACCTCATCTTCCTTTTAACCTGTAGCGGCTCTGTGAATCTTCTTAAATCTCTTTCTTCTACATGATCTCTTGCCGCGGCCTAGAAGAGAAACATCGACCTACTTATTTTTAGATTGATGGATACGGTTGACCTACATAGTTTGTTGTATAATAATTACTCGTTTGATGCTCAGAATCCTTTCGTAAACTCTGAAAATCCTGTTCAGACTGCTCTTGAATCTATACATTTAGGACAATTGCCGCAGGCCATTCTTTGCTTAGAGGCAGCACTGCAAAAAACCCCCAACTACTCTTTGGTTAATTTGCTTTTTATGGAATTAGAAGTATATATACTAAACATTTCTAGATGGGGTTCCGAGGAGATGATCTTTGGAATATTACTGATTTTTAGGCATGGTACTTGTTGGGCCTGTGTCAAGCAGAAAATGAAGATGATGTGAAGGCGATATGTGCATTAACCCGTTCTTTAGAGCTGGATAGTTCCAATGGTGATGTATGTTATTTTCTGAAAAGCGTCCCAATTATTGCTTCTCTGACTTTACTAACTTGCCTTACAGTAAAGACTGATAAGAATTTCTCGCTACTCTAAATAAAATCTCTCCAGGTGTACCTAGCGTTGTCTGTTTCTCTTGCCAATGAATCTTTGGAGAAGGCCGCTTTGACGCAGTTGAATCTCTGGATTCATTCACATCCAGTTTACAATAAGTTTTTGCAGAGCTACTCAGGTGTCGAAATGTCCTTTATAGAAGATGAATTTAATAAGGTACGTTTTTTGCAGTGGCTGAAACAGAGCCAGTCTGTGTCATATTCGTTTTGCAACACTAATAATTGTCACTCAAGGTTGAACCAAAATTCTTGGAAGCTGCTCAGCACCAGCCACCTGAAGGTGACTCAACTTTACAGAATGCAATAGGAATTTTGTATAACCTCAGAAGGGATTATGCAAAAGCGTCTGACGCTTTGAAGGCAGCTGTTTCTATCCAGCCAAATGTAAACATTTGTCTGCTACTTTCTTTTAAATTAGAATTTTATAGCATAGATGGAACAAAGCAAGCACTTGCTACCTGTTAAGATCCAGGCTTCAAATTGCGTACCAGTTTGATTTATTGTTTACCTTTTGTAGTTCTCTTATTTTGCTATTTTTTAATCAGGTCTGTAGGTTTTGCGTCTAGTTTTGTATAACTTTTTACTTTCAAGGACCCACGTTTATGGAACAGGCTTGGAGCTACCTTAGCAAATGCTGGTTATCCAGCCGAAGCAGTAGGCGCTTACCACAAGGCACTATCACTTTACCCAAATTATGCGCGTGCCAAGTACAATTTGGGAGTTGCCTGTATGCGTTTGAGGAGCTATGGGTAGGAATCAAGTTCTTATTGCAACTGTTATGTTTACAACACTTAAGCATACGTTGTTTTTGCAGTTTGCTCTTCCAGGTTACAGCTTAATTTTTGAATACTTGAGTAAAACAGCTCTTCTGGCTTGAAGCTAAAAAATCCTCCTCGGAGTGAGCATATTTGTTTACAACCGTTGGGTTTTTTTCATCTTTTCTAACGTATAATTTCGTAGTTTTTTTTATCGAAATTTTTCAGACATGGGAATTTTCCGTTTTTTTCACTGTTCTTCATTTCCACCTGAAAAATCTGCTTTTGCGTCATTTAATTTCATAGGAATTTTTCTGTTTCGTGTAAAACTAGTTTTTTTGAAATTGAGCCAAATACTTCATAGGATTGTTTGAACAAATATGATTACTTGATAACAGTTTATAGTAAAGAGTTGGTAGCTTTTACGGAAAAGGGAGTACTAAGTGGTTCTTGCATTGTAGACTTTATGAGGACTGGAATTCCTGTTTTTCTTGATGTTATTCACTGAGCGTAGTGTAAGTTTGAAAAATTATTTTCGTTTATTTTTTTCCGGTCTTGGATATACGAGGTGGTCTGTCGCTTCATCTTCGGTTTTCCTCACAATATTATTTTGGAGAATTGATTTTTTTGTTTAGAGATGCCATCGGTCACTTTTTGGGAGTGTTAGAGATACAGGAAGGCAGCGGGAAGCTGAACTCTTCGACTGTTTGGAGCGTACTGCGATCAGCAGTTATATCACTCTATCCGCACAATGCTCCAGAACTGCTCGAAGCAATATACGCGCGTGATCTAGCGCGGTTCAAAACAGCTTTATGAGGTCTGTGTCGTTACATCTCTTCTGCCACAAACCCTTTGTACTTCATCACCGGTTAAGGAACTGTACTGTGACGCTTCAACTGTAGTAGCGTTTTTCTGGCATGGTTTATGAACCACCTCAGTATCTTTTTAATAAATGTAGGTTTGAATTGAGTAGAAACTTAGAAAAAGAATTTATAGGACTGTTAAAAATAAATAACTCCGTTGTAGAACAATTAAATGTTGCTTTCAAAAAGAGTTCCGTATGCTTCAGTGCTATGTTAATATGATGAAACCACTTCAATAAAAATTCGGCATATTGCTTACTCTGGGCAGAAGCAAAAAACAGTGCGAATACTGGAGATGATGCAGTTGAATTTTAATTTGTGGGACCGGCTGTAATATATCTTAGTTTGTGAGAAAATGGGGCTGGTCACTGGACCGAGTGAAAAATTGTTTCGCTTTAGAGACAGGAAGTATAGCAACCGTGATAAAGGCGAAACGAAACAGACTATATTTTTGAAAAACTTCATAGATGTGGCTTTGAAAAAGTTTAGATGCACAAATACAGTTGCATTCGGGTAAGTTCTGTGGGAGAGTCGTCCAAGATTTAGCGAGAAAAAAGCAGGTGGGGAGTCTCATTTTATCTGTAAATACTTAGGGAACTACTGCTAAAAACTTAAAATCTTAAACGTTTACAAGTGTCACCTGAAGTAAGGAAATTTTAGAACGCTAAGGACCTGCAGAACATGTGTTTTGAGGAAGTTGTGGGCTTTTTGAGGTTTTTGTGTAAGTTTGTTGATTTTGGAAAAGTTAGAGTAGTGAATGAAGAAACCAAGCTATTGCCTTTGTTCGAGTACACTAACTTGTGAAACAGCTTATATTCTTTTTACCCCACTCTTCAACTGTGTGACCAAAGTTTGCCGCTTGCAACAGTGAAGACTTGGGTACTTATAAAGTAGCTTCCACTGTTCTGATGAGCATTTAAAATTTCAGTTTTACGTCAATGTTGGGCTCTGTGGCGTAAAACTAATTTTAATTTCTGTCTTAAAAGGCTGAGGAAATACTGTCTGTTCTAGTTCCACAAGTTTGTTAACCTTAGGTGATGCGTTTGCAGGAGTTCCAAGAAAAGTATACTTACGCTTACAGGAAGGTCAGGAAGCTACCGTGTTTCTTTAACAAAGAGTGAAGTTTTGCTTAAAATTGATTGAAGTCGATACCAAGTTTTTTCTGCTAGGTTGCTACTTCTACTAAAACTTAACTGCTGGTTGGAGACGAATGACGTACTGCGGTGCA